CGGCAGCTGCACGTCAGTCCCGACTAGCCCTGGCTCCTCCCTGGAGGAGGCCATTGCAGGGAAAATGTTACTCAGCATCCATGAGGGTGTTAGAAATCTGGCTAGGAATAAAGATTTGCTTCTCCAGCCCTGAGCAGTCTGAAGGCTCCTTTAAACTCACAGGCCTGGTTTCACAAGGCAGCCCAAGACACATGGATGGGTTCTAGTGTCTCTCTGGATCTGATTCTCACATCGCTTTGAGACCACAGGTAAGGAAAACAAAACCCACATCAGCTTTCAAGTTGACCCGCTGCCTGCCGCTCAGGCTCTGAAGAGGTGGTGAAATGCTCCCTAAAGCCTCCCTGGACAGTCTTTATCACCATAGGAAATGCCATTGCTGTCCCTGCCTTTCTGCACCGCTTCTTGATCTCTGCTGCACAGTAGCTGCGTAATCCTTGGCATAACACGTATCTTCGGAAGACCAATGGAGTCAGTTTTAAACCATTTACTTACTGAAATTTGGAAAGCAAACACGATCCAGGCAGCATTTTAAGGGTGAACTGAACTACAGAGTAACGTAAAAAAAATCCATTCAGAATCTAAGGCTTTGGCTGAGGAGGAGGAGGGATGATTTTGTGAGTAAGATGCAAGCCTAGTAAATGCAATCAGGATGACTTGTTTTTCCCCAAGGTGGCACCAAGTCAGCTTATTTTCTCTGTACTAGAAAAATGCATTGTTCCATCTCCTGACTGTAACAAAAAGCTACTCCTGCAGTGGGCTTCACTGCCTGCTGACAATAGTCCTGTTATTTCACGCTGGAGCCGTGTGTACCTGAGCACCCAAGAGACTTGAGGGTATTCTCACCGTCTGAGCAGTAAAAAGCCCACAATGGAGTTTTTAATGAAAAAAGTGTCATGCTTGGAAATCTTTCACTTCTGAAATGAAACCACCACTTCACTGTTACTGGCAGTAAGGAACTATTCAGAAAAGGTCTGTTTAATTTCACTCTGTACCTCTCATTCTAGTTCCATTACTCAAGACATTTTTGAGTGCATTCACTTTGAAGCCCTCCTTCACACAATGTGAGCTGGTTTTGGTGTGTGAACTGTTTTGTCCTAGGACACAAGTTTTAAGGTATTTCTGGTGCCAGCTGGCTCTTCCTAGGCTTTTTCTCAGTAAGATACTAATTTCATTTCCTTAAAGTGTTATTAGGGAAACCACATGATATCCGATTCTGAATTGTGCATGCATCTAAATTAGTGGAAGACTACTGTAACTGGCTTTAAAGCAAGGATGCAGGTCACACCAGAATTTGAGGACAGCGCAGCTATTTTATATGAGCAGCTGTAATGTCCGTGCCTGCGGGCCTCATGGTAAACTCAGCTTTACTGGAGGGTGAAGGAAAGTTCCTCCAAGAGATGAAATCACAAGAAGTGGCATATGGTAAAAGAGTCATATCTCTACCTACCATTCCTGAAATCAGTCCAACCTGGAAAGTCTTGGGTAAAACTTACACCCTGCCTTTGGAAAAGTGACTCTACAGATCAAATTGTCTCCTGAAAACAAAATAGCTTCATCTACTGCAGGAGAAAATCAAGGATTGATTCTTGCACACATGGAATGTAGCCAGGCACTAAGCTCCCCTTACACCCAATGCAACAAAAAGTTGAGTATTAGAGTTGCCACTCATGTATTTATTAAGCTGAAAGCACTGGCGTGCACATTTGGCACCACACTGCTCCCGGGCTGTAACTTTTCATGTGCAAAGTTCACCCGTAGAACAATGCAAGCCAAACGATCCCAGATGTGGTTTAAGCACAGTATTGGGTTGCACACCTTTGCTACCGCGAGGCAGGACAGATCTGCTTGCATCTGCGCTTTTAGAGCACGACTGATACCAACTCGTCATCCCCGGTGTGTGGGACAATGGAAAAAAGTCAAGTTAAAAAAGCCCTGCAGATACTTGGCCTATTCAGGTGCAGCACTAAAACCCTGCCAAAAGGACTTGTGTATGATTTATCAGTGTAACACTCCAGCCAAAGCTAAAACCCAGACTTCGCTGCCCTGTTAATTCTGATACAGAAAACAGAGAAGGCTTAAAACAGCACTGTCCAGCTTAAAAGAAGACAAAAATTGACATCATGATAATAGCTATGAGTGGATAGTGCTGTTTAAAGGGGGATTGAGATCATCTACTGTATAGCTAAAAAAAAAAAACCCAAACAAAAAACATCCAGCTTTTAGTTCAATGCACCTAAAACAGGTCACGCTGTGTTTTCCACTGGCTTGTCAGGAGTAAGGGTTAGTGCTGCAGCTGCCTGGTGTGTATTTCCAGCATAGTGTATTTTTACCAATTGAAAGCCTATTTTTGCTCATGAGGTAGTAACTCTTCCAACCCTCCTTTATGAATTAAGTTTGGACAGTTTAAGTGGCATCTCCCTTACTGGAATGATCAGGCAACGTTTCTGATGGAGGCTTGATGCTAGCTAACACTCGATATGGAGAAATCTCAACATCTTTGTGTATGTGCGTTATTGAACATTTATCCCACAGCAAACAAAGCAAAACGTGTCCAAGAATGGTGTAACTTCTCCAGCAACCTCTGGTGGCAGTCAGTGCTTTGTGTACAGCATTACAGGAAGCCTCCTGCCAGCACTGGGACTTGCTGCTGTTATAGAAAGACCTTATAGCACCAACAGCCCTGCTGTAAAGAGACGCTTTGGCAGGACTGTCGGTGACAAATTCTTTCTCTGGGGTTAAAAAAATATGATACTTAAAATCATACATTATATCTGCACACACTTATGCATGTGTATCATTAAAATATATATTAGAATTAAATATACAATAATCTCAGCTTTCCTTTTCACAATGTGCCTTTAATCTTTGGGACGCAACTGGACCACAGAAGTGACAGCTTGCAGATGCGTATCTCACCACCAGCACATTCTGACAGGCCTTCCACCTTTGTCAAGCTGTAGCAATATGGTCAGCAGAACTACGATAAAAATTGTTAAACATAACAGAACCACCAGCAGCAACTGTCCTCATACCTTCACTGTAGACTGACAATGGATTCTGGCTTGAAAATTCAGTCTTTTTAAAAAAATATATTTGTACATAAATGTGACAAGTGTAAAAGCTGCGGGCAGGTAAAATCTGTTTGCTTCAGGAACAAAGCAATGGCTGTAATAACAGTTAAGTTTGAACAAAACCTACTAGCTGGTTAGGATAAATAATAACTAATGCAAATCTCAGTGTAAAACAAATAGCAAATGTAATTTCAGACTGTAAGGTTAAAACCATGTCCTGTAATTGCATAGCAACACCTGCATCACACTGCCTCCAGGCAGCTGCAGCAAGTGAATAGACTCCAACCCATAAAACACAAGGCAATCCTGACACAGGCAGCAAAGGTGGGCAGCTCTGACCACCAAGCAAAGCGTGCAAACAAGAACCATCAGCCTGGCACATTTCATCTACAGAAGATGTTTTAACATCTATTTGGTGGAGCAAAGTTGCCTCAACCTTGTTGTTAGAACAATGTGCTTCCATTTGTGTATTATTAAACCACAGACACGTTGAAATGCTGGGTGTACCCAAACCCCTGCAAAAAAGGTAATGAATTAGGTGGCTGCTGCAGCCTGGGGGAGGGTGGTGCAATTTTTACTCACTGAGGTCCCAAGCATTCTGCAGCAGCCAGTTTCTAGGGATTTGCACCGATTTTTTGCCGGAGTCCAGCCTCCAGAACTAAACCACAAGGCTTGGCATGGCTGTTTGCAAGGGAGCTCTTTACATACACTATCCAAAGTTGTGACTTTTGTAACCACCAAAATAATTCTGCTGCCTGTATTTTTGTTAATTGGTATGAATTTTAGAAATATATAAAAGCTTTTTTTCCACTTCTGCCTGTTGCACGTAAGACGTTTTGTATGCTTAAAAGCTGCTAATGGCATGAGATGGGCTGAAGAAAGCATCTTGCTTTGTTCTTTTAATAGTAATCTGTGTTAGCTCTTACTGTGCTGGTTTAACCTGGGATTTTGAAACTGAGTGTCTCTGCTCCCAAGACATCTTGCCCTCTCCAACAGATACAAGGTGAGAAAACCACTGGCTGCTGGCAACGGGGAGAAGCACTCCTTTGCCTGAAAAGGTTATTCATACAACTGAGCAAGCAGAGTATTCTATACTCAACTCTTTGATTAAAGCATAGTAATAAAAAAAATTCTTGTCCACCTCCCTTGCTGCAGAAGTGAAAATTTTCTGGAGGATGCCTACAGGGAGCAAATTCTGAAGCAGCTGAATAGATCCCTCCCTCCCCCCAGTTTAAGGTCATTCCTTTCCTGGCAAGCTAGCTAGAGTAAAGCTAATGTAAACAGCAAGGCCCTTAGAAAAATTGCAGTTTAATGTGTAATGGTAAGGTAACCAAAGAAACAAACTATTAACACTGTTACAAAGAAATGCATGATTTTTTAACATCTGAATGGAAAATGCAAGCACATTCTTTAGGAATGTATTCTCTTAATAAAAGACTCATACCAATATAATTCTTTATGCCTATAAAAATCCGATTATCACAAGTGATTAGGCAACTCCAATTTTAAAGCTGCAAGAAACAGTTTAAAAGAGCAATAAAACCACGCTGTGATCTCTAAACCCAATAAAAGTGGGCGTCAGATCTTCAAGTTGTTTTACTACAACTTTGACTCCAACTGAAGATCTGTTCCTGACCCACAGTCAGGTAAACAATTCACAGAATTAGTGAATAACACTTTAAGAAAAAAAGTTGGTTTCTGCCAAAAGTGACTCACCAGTACTTGTGCCATCTAGTGGCCTGTTTCTTCAGGCAAGTACAATGATTAGTTATTAAAAGCCTTAAGTAAAGGCTCATTCTTTAACAGATGGTGGTCAGTCTTATGCTATTATTTTAAATAAAAGGCTAAAACATGCAATGCAGGCTCTCTTCATTCTCAATTATTTGGGTCTGAAAGACCATCAAAGTTTTGCATCTCTGTGCAGACTCAAGTTTCTCTACGAGTTTTATTAGAAAAACAGAACTACAACCTCAGTTTGCATTCTTTTGCTTGCAAAGCCTTGGTTGCTAGTTCAACTCTTTCTTTTAATAAGCTAGCTTCTTCAGCACTTTTTTGGGCCTGTACATTTTTCAGTAAGAAGTGGGTAAGGAAGAGTTTCAAGCCTTCCCGTAGCATTCCCAGTTTGGGGTTGTCAGATATCCTGTAAAGATACAGATCAAAAAGTGAATTTAGTCTTCTACTGTTTTAGAAGTTTCTCAATTTTCTTTATCTTCTTCAGAGAACACGAGGGAAAAAAAAAAAAAAAAAAATCCAACCTATAAAAGGAGCTTTTCTGATGAGGCTTTCAAATTACCAGCAAGTCTACATTGGTTTGGCAAACAGCCCAAATACACTCAGCGTACAATTGAACCTCAACAATAAAATGGATTATTGGAGCCTCAGACTTGCTTTATGTAAACAATTACATTACAGCAAAACCCGAGGTGAATGCCATGTCTGATCTTCCTCATGTTGCAGCATAAGGGTTGAAACATCATCACCCAATTTGATGGGTTAGCCTGTACTAATACACAAATGATAAGCTTCACCCCACTCACCCAGAAGAGTTTACTTGTTAAGAGATGGGTGTCTGATCTTCGAAAAGGCACTGTATAATTCTCAACAAAACAAGCAAACTTGTTACCTTCTTAATTACTACTCACCAAGGGCTCCCTACAGATCTCTCTGCTCACCTACCTCACAAAAATATCACAAAGGTCTTCAGCATCTGTTTTGATTAACAGCATGCTTAATACTTGTCGCAAGAAACGGACTTTGGGTTTATCTAGTTCGCTGAATTCAATTACCTAGAAGAGAGGGAGAATTGGATTAACTCAAGTATTTCAAACAGACAAATTCTCTTCTAAATGAACAGCTTTTAGCACACCAACTGGCCTCCCATATATACAGAGTCTTAAGTTTGGCACAGAAGAATTAGCTGAGAACACTGCCTCCAAAAAACAATCAATAAGGAAAGCAGAGAACTTTTTAAGGAATTAACCTAGCACCACAATACCAGGCATAATTTTTCAACTAGATAAATCCAAGTGCTCAGTAGATTTATTTCTGGTCTAATAAAAATCAACATCAGCTAAAAAGCATAGCAGAAAATCCACTGACAAGCCTATTAATGAAGGGGTGTTAGTACTAACTCGGGATACTCTAAAGAATATAATCTTAAAACTGCTCTAGATACAGAACTGTAGACTTTCCGTATGCCTGGGTCACCACAGATTCCATTTTCCCCAAATTATAGCATTACTGTAACCAGTTGGGTTAATTTAGTAATTTTAGAACAAGTTTTGTCTTGGCTTATGACCTTGAAAAGCTAAAGTACCAGCCAGGTAACAGAGAAAATATACATTTTCCATAAGACTTAACAAATGCAAGGATAACACAGAAGTATTTTGAAAAGAAAACACACCAACCTTGAGAACTGAAAGTGACAATGATTTTGTCCTTAATAAATGAACCAACAGCGAAACCAAGTTGGAGATGGCAGCAGCTGACAGGTTTTCCAAGTCTTTGATTTTGTCCCAAATACTAAATTGAAATGTCACCTAGGTGTCAAAGGTAAAAAAAATTAATCCTACAATCAAGTGACTGCTTAAATGAGTAACAACATAACAAAACTTTCTGATCTTTTATTCTTTATGATCCCTCTGTGAATTGACAGAGGTGCTTGATCAGACTGTCTTCCTAACCACAATAGCGACACTAAACCAAAGTAGGAACGGCTTTTTCTTCACCTGAAACCGTCTCTGATATTCACAAAACTTGTTAGCCAAAAATGCATAGAAGGGGTTGTATGTCTTCTCCTGTAAGCAGCAGTGAAGTGCAACATGAACAATTTCTCTCTCCTGCTGATCTTTCAGTCCAAGCCTAAAATTCAGCAACAGAATGAGAATCATTTAGTAAGGAAAAAATTACTCACACAAAGCAACAGCTACACTCAACATCCAAGAGTAACACCTGAAAAAATAAAAAACCCTGAACACTACATTCAGTTTCACTTGTGAGGAAGCTCTTACAGTCTTAAAAAACCACTATATGGACAATCTCTTAAAACTGTGGGCTACATCAATATCCTGGTATGGCAATATGAAAATGCTATAGTCTTATTGATGTTAAAAGGGTTGGCTGCAAAAGCAAGACTTCAACAGACAGACATGGAATGATATAAGTGTAATTAGCGCCTGAGGAAGGAAAGGTAGAACACTCCATATTTGTAACTCTTCATGAAGAAAACCAGAGAGGGCACTGCCATCATGAAGTCTTGTGCAGCAGTAGTGCAGCAAGTGTTGTTGCATGGTGTACCAATACAAACGTTAAATAGTGGAACAAGAACTGTAGCACCCTGTTGCAGTTATGTCACACTTGTACCTATGGCCATGTGAGGAAAAGCAGATTTTGGATCAGTATAAGCTTTTTTTAGAGAAACACATCCAGGGCACCCTTCACTTCCGCGAAGTATCTGCTTTTACTAGGGATAATATATCACGATGTTTTTCCCACTTACCTAGCCATATGAATCTTTTAATCTCTAGGTCAACTCCATGCTACATAATACCTGAAATTCCTTATTGTTTGATATTCAGAGGATGCAGTCAGCCATTTCAAATCACCTTAACACACACACACATACACACACCCCAAAAAGCCTGAAGAACAGAGTCAACAGTCAGTATCAGTGTTGGCTGCTTCAGCATAAAGGCCAAGGACTCAACAGCCTTCCTACTTGAACAGCTGACCAGTCTAAAAAGACAGCTGAGGCACTTTGGGCCAGGGATTGGCAACTAACTCGCAAGGCACCTGTTCTGTGAATAATATGATTTAGCCTCTCAGGCTGCCAAATGCCTGGCAGCATTAAAACCAATTAAAATGAAAAATGCTTCATATTATAGTCTGAAAAATGTCAAACAAAATTCTTTTCATTGTTTAAAGCTCAAGTTTCATATGGCATTGGTGTAACTCAAGTGTATTTCCTAACTAAGTTTGACTCCACTGGAACTTGCTGTACTGCCTGTAGTCTGCCATTGCCTGATTCCAATATCGCTCATTTTTATACACCTCCACACACCTGCCACTGCATTGGATCACAGACACACCCCAGATTAGTAGAGAAAATACTGTCTTTCAGCCACACTCCCACCCCCCAGCATTCAAGGTTTTACAACAGGAAAATCTCAGATGATTTCTAGGCTGATTGCTAATGAGCAGTGAAAACTTGGAATTCTACTCCTCCAGAAGAGGACAGCACTGTAAGTGTCATGTCTGTGATAGAATTTCCTTGCTCTCCCATCAGACAAGTTCTACCTGATTTTATTACAGAGCAACAAAAGCTCCTTTTTTAAAACAAGTTTCCAGCTACCAGACATGCACTGTAACTCGTGAAGTTACACTGCAGTCACTAATTTGGCACACTCTCCATCATAATTTCTATCATGACTTGCTTATTTAGGAAATAATTCATGTTGCCAGACAGCTATAACCAAGCAAATCAGCACTTTGATGCTGAACTTTATTCTTACTTTCACTTCTTTGCAGACCTAGCATTACTTTATCTTTTCAGACCTAACATTCCTAAACACCTAAAATTTAGGAGTCGGGATTGTCTTTCACTGCTGAGGTTCACTGTAAGCCTGTAGAGATTTCAAGAACCTGATCATCTTTGAAAAAGAATATGCAACCACCTCACCTATCATTCATGACTTACAGTATTCCCATGGACTTGTATATCTTGATCATTTTAAGAATTTCCTGCCGTATATGGGATAACTGCCTCTGAAGTAGGTTATCTATCACCAGCAGAAGCCTGCCTTTAAGTAGGCTAGTTATCATCAGCTGAAGCCCAAGACTATCACTGCCTTTAGATCAAACATAGCAACACTCAAACCTTTTAAAAGTGATCTGAAATTATTTTAGTAGACGCGATCACATAATTGTTACCCTGAATTACACACCACACTACAACAGGGTATATAAAGCTTTTCAAAGTTTCAACTTTTTGTGAGATATAAAATATCTCAAATTCTTCATGTCCATGAAATAGCTTTTAAAATTGCCTCTGCATCAAACTTTAGAAGCATTCATTCTGCCTTCTGTGTGAGTCTGCGGTTTGTGAAGGAGGTGTAGCCTTTCATCTAATGAAATGGATCAAGTCTTACTCCCGCCTCTTAGTCTCCAGTGACATTGCCAACCCCCCCTTTACATTGACACTTCTGCAATCACAAGCTGAGCCACTTCAGGGAGCTGCTCTGGCTTCAAATTAATTGCTTTTACTGTAAGGAGGAAAAAGACAAGCAGAAGTATAGTAGCCTGGACTTAACAACAATTTAAATTACCATTTAATCACACCTAAACTCTGCCAGAGATATAGCATCAGATGAATCAACAAGGGCAGTCAAAATACTTCTTGATATATTTTCTTGTCCTCTTCCTCATGAGACTGACATCCAACTCATGAATATAAATTCCCATACACTCTGGAACACATGTTCACATTGAAGTTAATTCCTTCACTGACAGTTCTGTGTACTTTCCATTATACTCTGCCAGATGTGGGCACATTTCTGAATTCCTCTCTCTGAGCTTGTTGTATAAAAATCAGTATCAACACACACACCAGGCCATGTGCAGTTTTTCTGCCAAGCCTGTATGTATACAGATTTGTATACTAGTTTAAATAGCACAGATGAGAGTCAAGGATCAATTTGCAAATTGAGCTACCAGGCCTTGGCAAGAACTGCAGCAGCAGCAGCTAATTTCTTTTAATTGAACAGGCCATATTAAGATATTGGAATGACTCCATTGCAGTCTTAAATCCAAGCTGTGTTTTTGCAGAAGTGGCATTCAATCAAATATTAGTTGACTTTATTACAAAGTCTGTTTTGGTTTGGTTATCAAATTAAATAATTGCATGCCATCCTAGTAAGATAATTCCCTTGAATTACAGGGCTGCAAAAGAGAAGTTCAGACCTGATCTCTCTCCCCTCTCAGTTACTACAGACTTACAGCACTATTCTGACAAACATAAAGAACAGCTTAGTTTATGCTTTTCCTTGATCAAATCTTCTCCTAAAGAGCTGTTTGCTAAGCGGTAAGGAAACTGGCCTTACCATGGAATGTGACCCTGAAGCAAATCCAAAGCTAAGAGGGAAGTGGAGGTGCTAGAACACTATCAGGTCATGCAATTATGTACAGAGACCTGCAAGATGGCTTAAAAAGGTGGTAAGAAGTAAAGGAAGTGGCAGCAGTATGGAAATCCAGCAAGAAAACCAAGAGGTATTTTGAAGGGGCTTCTGGTCTGCATCTGTAAGGAAGCAAGGCTGCAACAGACTTGCATCCACTAGACCAGGAAAACACATCTTCAATGCAAAAAAGATGCAGACTCCTGAAGTCAAAAGATGCTGGAAATCAGAGTTATAGACGTGAGTGACAATAATTGGGGCTACTCCTTTCTTTCAACTGCCAGTCAGTTCTAACTTCCCTTCTAGTCCCTTACACCATGGTTTTGGTCCTTCTCCTCTGCATGGATAGCTAGCTATGCAATTCTCTAATTTTATTACCAATTAAATGTGCTTAAGCCCAGACCAACAATGGTATTTTTCCAACCCAATGCTATTTTTAGCTGTGGGATGCCTTCTGTGCTAGTCTGTACTTACTTGAGAAGCTTTTCAAATGCATCCAGGTAGTCTTCACTTGTCATCAAGACACAAAAAATACTTCTCCTGATATCGGTGTTCATTCTCTGCTTACGAGCAAGCTCCATTATCTTTGAACTCGCCTGCAAAAAATTAAAATTAAATGCTATTTTATTTATGCTTGCTTTATGAAACCTATTTCTGCATAGCCTTGCGTAAGACCATTAATGAAGATCTCCAGTAAGCTACGAAGCAGCAGCCCAAAGGTCCCGAGCTTTTGCTCAGAGGCATAAGAATCAGCAACAGCTTTTTCAACTAGGGAAATATATTTTAATGTATTTTAATTGTGCCAATTATTTAAGATGTGCTTCTCTAATGTAACTCACCATGACATTCTCATTACACTACTTTTACAATCAGCTTAGATATATGCCACCCACAGACAGGCAATGCTACCTGTCAGAATTTATACTAGGAAATCCACTTTTAAATCACACCTCTTTTTTTTCGTGGGCTCTGAAACAAACTTAGGCACCTGTATGAAGAACATGCAAAAGATCACAAACACTTTCACTTACAACAATTGCTGCTTGGATTTACCTTTCCTATATGCAGTTTCTGCTGAGTCTTGCTATTTGTATCATCAATCATTGGTGCTCCACTCCAGGATGACCCAACTATCCACCAGCGACCAACCCGATCAGCACTGAGGAGAGATTCCAGGGAGACACGGAGCTCCGTTTCTTTTCCAGAACCACTTTTGTGGACCTTAACAAAATACAAAACCCCCAAAAGCTATTATTTGAAGCTTTCTTTAAAAACAAAACCCCAAAACACAAAAAACCCAAATACTTCAATTGCTTTAAATTACTTTAAAACAAATACTTTAAACAATTAACTTAGTATCTTAATCATAAAGGTCTTCACATGTTCCTTCTCCAGTCTCAGTCTGCAGCCTGAAAAGAATTTAGAAGTTTCCCATATGCTCTAATCTCTCAAAGGCAAGAAGTTGCTTAAATCTACATTGAGAAGCTCTATTTTTTATTAAGGAAAAAAAAAAAAAAAGAAAAAAGAGAGAGAGAGATAATCAATTAAAAAGGAGCCATCCTCCAACCATAAAACTTGATTAAAATTCAAGACTTGATGATATTGAAAAGTCAAGAGACTGAAGCTGACATTGAAAATCAGCTGCAGATTGTTCTGGTCATAATTTTCCTTTTCAACACTTTTGATCAAATAAAATGGCATGACAAAATGCCGTAAGTTTTGTACAATTCAAACAGCAAAGAGTTCAAACTCTTTAAACAAAATACGAATTTTCAACAAAATCCTAGACAGTACCAGGAGGAGTGTGAAAATTTGAGAGAAAATTCTACAGAACTAGGTTACCTGGGCTTGGTTTTGCCTGGCCTATTATTACTGATGCACACATCCTGCACTTAACACACTTCTGAAGATAGTTCTTAATCCAAAGAGGCAGTTACTTTCACGCATTTTATACTAGGTTGTTCTAGCCAAACTGCCCTCTCTCCAGCTTTTCAGAAGTGTTAGACTTCAAAAAGAAATCTGGTGAGGTTAGAAGAGGGTGCCTGCATCCAAAATCTATGGAAAAAAAAGAACTTGTCATAATGACTCATTTCTTCTCCACAATCATTAAATTTCCCACAATCTCTTTTTCAAGTATAGGACTTTGAGGAAAAGTCTTTGGCTAAGTATTATGTCCTTTCCCAAACGGTTCTGCAGAAGGCTAGTTGACTGCTGAATTAACTTGGACACAGGAAGTAATACTTAATGACCTAGGAAGTGACTTTCATTCACAAGAGTTTGAATGTTGAATGAATTAAAAAATACTATAGCCTGTCAAGCCAATGTACAATACAAATAATTACTTCTGGTTTAAGAATAGCTTTACAATGTATGCTGAGAAAGTTCTCACCAGTGTTCTTTGCAATTTGCGGAGTTTTTCAACTGGTTCAGGATCATAACCAGGAATTTTACGCATGTCATTATTCCTTAGGGCCAGCATAGTCTCTAGCATAAACCGCACCTATTGGGAAAAGAAATATTTCTGTGGATTATGTGCTGAAAAGTTTATTAAATAAAAGTGGAAACTGTACTTTGAAATTACTATTCTGTAACAATAAGCAGCTTGGATAGCAATACACATCAAAAATTAGATTACATAAATAAAAATACAGAGAAAGATGTTACTTTAACTCCTATTACACACATTTGCGTTCAAGCTTCAATTCAAAGCTTAATCTGCTGAACACCATGGCCATTTTTTTAAGTGTAAAAATTATTATCAAGTATTATCAGGAGCACAGTCTATGCATTCTATGCATAGGCACAAACCAGTCTGAGTCTTGCCCACTACAAGCATTTTGGTGGCTGTGTCCAAAGAACTAACAGAGAAAGACAGACAAGAAGAATGCAAATAACTGAATGCCAACAACTGAATATTAATGGTACCTTAGAACCTAAATAGAGAGTAGCAGAAAACATTTTAGTAAATTAATACATGTATCCAAGTGCTTATTAAAGTCTATTCAGAGCAGAAAATCTTTAAAACACACATACATACCCTAGTCTGATCCTGGAGTTTCTTCTCTGCTGTGTTTGCTTTCCTCTGGGCTTCAGTGATCAGTTCCTTCAAAGCTAATGCATCATCTTTTCTTAAGGAAAAGCCCACGTTTTTCAGAAGAAACAAAATCAACTCAATCTCTTTTTCAGTGAAAGCGTTAACAAGCTTTTTCAGAATATCAAAGATCAGCAGGCAATGAACCACATGGAAATTATACAGATGAGCAATCAAGGCAAGCAGGTTTTCACATTCTTTCCCCTCAGCATCACTTTTAGAGAGTTCATTAAATTTCTTCACCACAGCTTCCAAAAAGTGAGCACCGACCTGGCAGCAGTTGCATTAAAGAGGAAAAAAAAAGTTTAAAAAAACCCAGCCATTAACCATAAGTAGATTTTACAGACATCTGTAAAACATTAACTTCTGACACACTGCCACTACTAATTTTAAAGACATATTGTTGCTCCTCTCAGCCAGTATGGATGTTCTACATTTACATATACAAATATCTAAGTGGTATGACAAATTCTTAAAGTATATGTTATTTAGACCTTATGTATGAAACCAGTTGCCTTTCAACATCTGTAAAAGAAAAGTGAATGTTATGAACTTACAGCACACATACATCAGAATTTGTTTACATGATTTTCATGAACACGTATTAGCATCTTCCCAGCTGTCAGGCTAGCATGCTGTCATTGCTAGTCATTCATCCAGTAAAAGCTGCATGTCAAAACCCAAATGCATCACAAAGTTCAGCATTCCAGAATAAAATCCTTAATAGAAGGGTAAAAAATAATACTGTAAAACAATCCCCAACATACCAAGTTTTCACAGTTGCTGAGCATAAGCTTAGGCTGATTTTGAAGTGGGGATAAGCCTTAGCCATTTATCAGTAGTACAACTGGGAAAAGAAAATTTGGAATCTATATTTGTGAAGAGTGAATGGATGCTGAAGACTGGAATTAGAAACCATACCAAAACATGGGTAGGTGATGAACACGCTGCTGCTAGACAAGACTTCCCACATTATGATGATGATAATTTTTTGCTGATTGTTCTTATGAAAAGCACAAGTCCAAGTAGCAGCACTTATCTGCATTACAAGCCTTGACCAGCTTAGGTTTTCATTAATCCAATGATCATATTGCACAAACATATAAGCACAGTCACTGGAACCCCAGCTTCTGCATTGCTCAAACTAATCTTAAATGCAGCTGTGCTATCACACTTTTGTGTAATACGTATTCTGTATTTTACAGGGGAAAAAAAAAAGTGCGTTACAGTAAACACATTTTAGACTCAAAGATGCTATGTAACAGAGTCGGTAATACAAAGACAGTCTGGGTATCATCTATGTATTTCTAATGCCTACTAGTGTATCTGTATCTAAAACCTATTACTGGGTATTCTGCAAAGTTCCAAAAAGATTCCGTTTCTCTCCTTCAAACAGCACTATATTAATATGTTGTATCTACCTTTCAAGCAGCAAAGAGGATTTAAAAAAAACAGTTTTATGGCAAGGCTGCATGGAGAAAGCTGCTGTAATTGCATCCACCTGATACTTAATACAGCTTCAGAGACAGAATTCAGGTCACTATACAATAAGCTGAAGAACTTGCATAAATAGATCTTTTGCACTGAGATATAGAAATAAAATGTAGGTGTAGAAAAACTTGATGGGAACATGATGCTGAAACACCTGTTTTCTGAAAGACATCTCACTGAAATGAGGTAAAATCTTCCATCAGTAGTTTCAGCAGCTTCTTAACAGTAAGCAACAGATGCATCACCTCAATCATTCAAGCTTAAAACCACCACCACACCAAAAAGAAAAAAAAAGAAAAAAATTTGCCATGCTTTTTGAAGTTTTTTATATTATGCAGTAATTGATACATCCAGCTAATTTCACTGATACCTGCATGATCTGGCTTTAAAAAACAGGATTTTTTTCCACTGATATAAAAGGATTTCTGTAACTGTAGCACTTTTCTTATATGGATATATATCGTTCAAGAACAATAACTTCATATACCCAAGGGAACAGAAATAGTCTAAATAAAGAGAAGAAAATTTGAAGCTTAAAACCTCCCAGTTTTATGGATGCAGAAAGATTTGGATGGAAAAAAAGAAAAAGACGTTTTTGTAACTGACCAGTGGCAACTCGTAGAGGAAATAACCAGATAAAGGAACAGACTTGATCCCTTTCACTTGTAGACACCTAGCAAATAAGCTACAAATATTGATGAAATTCAACTACTGTTTTTTTAGTAACAATCAAAAATGAAAAGGCAATTCAAACAAAATATCAAGGGAGACACTCTACAAAAAATGTAGTATTAAAATTACTTCCAACCACAAGAATTACCTCAATTCCTACATTATGATGAAGAACGCTGACTAAAAGGACGTGCTCCATTATCAATCTTGCAGGCATGGCAACTGCAGTAACACAAGCATTCAGGAGAATATCTGTCAGAGTCTCATTCATGTCCTTTCTGCTGTTGGCCATGTAGAGCTCTTCCATTTGTCCACTAATGGAGGATAAATTCGGTTCACTCAACCTATGGAGAAACAAAATCCAGTGTTCACTTCTTCTCTTTACATGGTTCCACAATTTTCAATTTACTCAAGAAACTACCTCTTCTTTTTAGAGAAACTAGTCTGGCTTAAGAAGAAAGATTAAAAGGTGACACAAAGGACATTCTGTATTTTGCAGTGTTTACCAAACTAACATATGTTTAATTCTGTATGGTTGTTTTGTTTGTTTTTTAATATTCACAAGTAAAAACAGATTTGCAGCAGTATTTACAAAGCATGGTCAATGTGCTTCCTGTCACAGTGAACAGACTTATTGAGAGCTTGTTCTGAGTTGTTGTTAAGTATAGCACGTCAGTCTTTGGAGAAAATAAGAACAAAAATACCTCATAAGGTATATCAAATTCTAAACCACTGAATAAACTGCATACTGTAGTCAGCATTTTGTAGGTAACAGATAAAAGAAAATGCTTTCTTATTTTACAATACTCTAAATTTAAAATGCATAAAAGTGTGAATGACTTCTTCTGTTCTTCAGTACTTGAAGCTATGAAGCGCTGCTCCTCAGTTGCAGTGTTGGAGAAATTTAGTTTTATTTAATTACAAAATGAAAATAATGCTTTTTTTTGGAGGGAGTTATAATACACTATGGGGATTTTTTTTTTATAGGCATACTCTAATTGACACGTAGTGAATTATACCTAGCACTTGCAGGCAACTGCTGTGTGGAATTCAGCCCAATCTTAAATTTATTTTCTATATTTTTCAACTTCTGTAATGACCAACTCTGAAAAATTTATACCAACAAAGATAATTATTATTAAGGATAGCAGACATGATTGCCAACTTAAAATCAGTTTGCGAAGAGAAAAGTCACATTCTTGCCACTTTTCTTTGAATGAGGAGCACTGTCACACTGAACCAGAAAGACTAATAACTTTGCTTGTTACATTACCTATTAATAAGACCATTCACCATTTTCTTCAGTCTTCCCAATTCTTCTCTTTTCTTGTCATCTAGCGTCTCCTGAGCTCTCCTTACTTGAGGGGGAACATACTTCATAGCACTGTGATTATGACTCTTAATAGGAAAATAGTAAGATACCTAATGAAATCTTAAATGTTTTAGCACAAATATACATTTCTGTTTTAAGATTAATATGCACAGCTTTTAAGTAAGTATATATTTTACCACCTAACAACTAATGCCAAAGTAACAAATTCATACAGAAAGAAGCATGCAACAGGTTAACCTTTATGACCAAAGCAGCAAAACCCCTCTTCCCTTTACATGACCTTTTTTTTTTTTAAGTTATTAAAACCTGTCATCTTTCATCTTGGTTTTAATCAGATCTAACCAGCTGCAGATGTACCAACAGTTTAAGTTAGTGGCACACTAGCTAAATGACCCATTTCACCTTCTCTTCCTCACCTGTGCTACAAGACCTCAGATCACAGGCAGAACCTCTGGCATCATCCAGAAGTAAAGCTCTAGTTTGCAACAGATTAATTTGAACATAAGCTCTGTTTACTCTTAGCAGAAGCACATGGACTCAGTCTTAAAGGTCTTTTACAACCTATTTGATTCTGTGATAATCACGTTCTTTAAAGCTGGGGTTAAGTCCTTTTATTTGCTTGCCTCGTTTATACAGACAATCCCACACACCTTGTGCGTTAGGGTGTTACCTACCAGCACCCTGACCTGGGGGAACTCTCCCCTCAACACCTCACCACTGTATCTAGGCCTTGGCAAGCCTCTTAAGACAACGCTGTTGCTGGGCCCGGCACTAGTTTCACCACGATAACACTGCCCGACTAGGTGACAAACATCCGAGCTTTACTGAGGTGATGCAAACTGCTCTGTGTTGATGTTATCGCATGTACTTTGAGAAGCAGTTAGCCATATCTAAAGTGAACACCCTACCTCCTCCTCGCCTGGGGGCTCGCTGGCCTCTGGCACCCCGTCATTCTCAGTGGATGACGATGAGCTTTCGCGCTCGTCCTGTCCTTCCACATCCTCCCCCTCGGAGAGGTCCGAGGCATCCCCCGGATCCCCCTCCGGTTGCTCTTCGTCCTCCTCGCCCGGCCCCGGCTGTCTCTCCCGCGGCCCCGGCGGTGCCTCCTCGTCGTCGCTGCTCTCGCACAGCTTGCTCAGGCCGGCCCGGGAGCCCAGGGCGCCCAGCACGTAGCCCAGCCCGTCCCTCAGCAAGCTCTGAGGCACCTTCTCCGCCGCGGCCCCCTCCTGCTTCTTGCGGCGCTTGCCAAGCCCTAGCAGCCGCTCCAGGCGCCGAATCTCCTTGTCCTCTTCCTCGTTGGCCTCCAACAGGGCCCGCTTCCGCGCCGAGGCGGTTGCGGCGGCCGGGACCTCGCGGGGTGTCGGTGCTGGCACCGCCGGCCGCGCCGCCTCTTGCTGCCGCGCCGGCCCCGGCCGCTGCTTTCCGACAGCGGCGGCGGGTGAGGCCGGTGCTCTGGGACGGGCAGCAGGAACCGGTTTGGAAGGAGCTGGCTTTAAAGGAACCGGCTTGGAAGGAGCCGGCTTGGCCGGGGCGACGGGAACCTCCACTGGTTCCCCGCGTTGGAGGCGGCGGCGGCGGCTCCGCTTGAGCTTGCGCTTCTCCTTCCTTGCTTCCCGGCGGCTTCTACGGTTCTGCCTCTCAGAGTCCTTCACCAGGGGCAGAGGCGGTTGGTCGCCGGCTTTCTGCACAAAGTCCTGCACCGCCTGCCGCAGCCTGTCTAGCTTCCCACCGCGGCGAGGGCGGGCCGCCGCTGACCGCTTCATCTTACCCCCAGCCACGCCGCGCCTGGGCGCCGCCATCTTGAGGAAGAGGCGACTTCCCTCTTCCGCCTCGCGGCCGCCATTTCAAAAAGCAGCGCCCCCTGGTGGGCTTTCGCCGTCTTAGGAGGTCCCGGCTCTGAGGAGGTGGTTGTCGGTGGCTTAAGGTCGCTTGAAACCCGTACCAAAGGCGCTAAATCCGCAGAGATCTCCTCTCTTTTTATATATGTATATTCAAGAAAATGTTAGGTTTGTCCTTCTTCTATACAGAAGGGACAGTCCGTGCCTTACAGCCGTGGCTTTGGTTGTAAGGCGTGACGGTGCGCTGGGCACGAGGCACTCGCTACCGCCTCTGGAGGCTGCAGGAACCGAGGGACACCGACATTTATGGCCTCTCCTCCACTCCATTTTAAGCCTCTTCCAAACCCGCCAGTCTTAGGTGTCCCTTCCTAAGCATGCCAGAGAAAACGTCCTTGTTCATGGCCTCTGTCCGGTGGTAACTGCTCTTGGGGCATTTCCATCTACCTTGCAGGACAAGGTGATGCAGCTGCTGGGAGCAGTGGCCCCTGCTGTGGTGATGGGACAGGCGCAGCATGCGACAACTCATCTGTCATTTATGTGATCATTACGTGAGGGAATTAAATGTCCCATGCTAGTTTGCTGATGTCAGCAGGAAAGCCAACTGGTTGATCTTATTTTTAGTCTCTGCTGTACTCTAGGCTTATGCAACCTGCTGGCTGTGTGTGTGTCCCTGTGTCTGTGTCCTCTCCTACCTCCAACTCCAAAATCTAATGCCGGTTCCAGCCATGTCTGGCAGATGCTTGGAGTTCCACAGAACACTGAATTTCACCAAGTTTCATCAAAATAGGTGACCGGGTAGAGGAAAGAATTTCTCAGCTGAACGAAGTTTCACAATCTAAGCTTAGACCTTATCAGATGCCAGAAAACAGGAATGAAAGCCTGCACACATAACCCAGCTTCAGAAAAACAGTCTTGAATCTCCTGTGGGGACCAATCCATAGGAAGTCAGGGTTCATTATTTTGTTCTTTGGCATTGCACTCCTGACCACTCTTGATCAATGAAGTACCGCGTAGGACTTGTATTTTACCTGAAAATTTAATATGGCTTTATTATTCAGAAGATTATTTTTGTCTTTCTATGCATGTTTCTATATTCTCTCATTACATCATACGTCCTAGATGACCCATGCTTCAGAAATTCAGCTTTCTCAAGACTGATGCGTAATGAATCTTTCACCCTCAGTGACAGAATACGTTGCATTGATTTGTCAAGGCATTCCTTTTGCTACATTTTCAACTATATATTATGCTATGATTTATTGCTGGGCTGCCCTTTATTCATGCACAGACAGCTCACATGCATTTCACATCCTATTTATGGATTTATTGATAACAGTAATCCAGCAGCATGCCATAATGCTAGATAAGTACAGCTGAATATAATTTGAGAAAATATAAGATGCTTTTAAAACTCCAAGATTTGCATCTTCCTTATGCCTCACTGAGCAATTTTTCATTCAGGGCAACAGAGCTTTCCAGTAATGGGAAATTTCACATATTTTCAAAGAGAGAAAATGTCAGTTTTTGCCTTCTTGAGTACGTCATGTCACAAAGCAAAATGGGGAAAGCATATATTTTGTTGAACCCCATAATCCCAAATTTGGGTGAAAATGGGCATGTTACTTTTGCAAAAGATATACTGATAGAATTATTATCACCTGTTTGTGAAGTAAAAATACTTTCTAAGAATTAATATTTCAAGCAAAATGTAACTATAATAATCAAATATAATATTGAGATATCAGTCTGCTTAATAGACTAATTCAGCATTCAAATCTAGTGACAGCATATCTCAATATGTACAATAAATATTTCATATACTATCCTAGAATATTGTGGTTTATTATTTTACATTTGCCAATTTAGCTTCAACTACCTGGTAAATAGAGTCTTCTTAAAACCTAAAATGTGAATAATTAGAAACTCTTGCCAACTAGTTTTCCAGCTTTCCTGTGTTGTCTAAATAAACAAAACGGGGAGAAATTAACTTTTCATATTACGAATCTCATGATTAGATCTCTGCGTCATATTGGCATCACTTGCCAAATAGGAATTCTGAATTGAGAGAACATTTTGTAATTGTTCTTTGTTTTGACAGTGATCCCTCAGCAGAAAACAAGCCACAAGGGCAGGTTTCAGGTTTAGAATGAAATTGAACATACTTGTATGAGTCACTGGAAATGAAAGTTCATATAGAATTGTTGTTTCAGTAAATTTTTGTTTCCTGCTGAGGTAATCTTTGTTAACAGATTTACTTTCCTATTCATGGATTTCTAGCCCCCTCAGCAGAATACAATTCCTTTAGCTGTCTGTTTCTTATTGTCTCCTGGTCACCTCCCACATGCCATGAAAATGGGATTTAGTGACTACATAATGCACATAGGTAGATTCTGGCTTTCTTGTAAGGTGCAGCTATTGAGAATATTGTGCTGTTTATCACCACAGCAAATATCAAAGCAGCACCAGCAAGACTTTTAGACTGAGCTCACAGGGTCATGCTTTTTATTCTTGTCAATGGAGAAAACAGCCTGATTCATATAAGAATACTGCTTTGCATACAAAGACTTTTTTGACTGCAGGCTGAAAGCTTTGTGCCAGAGTTAATTTGTTCTAAGCAGTGAGAGCCTCAGAATGGTGCAGATATTACTTGAAGACTCTGATGTGAGTCTCTAGCATGGCATCCATCTACCCGAGTTACTGTGTCCACCTTGTCGTACTGTGACAGGGATCAGCAGAACTGAGATTTGGTCTGCTGGGAGGGGTTGTCTGTGGAAGGATAATTTTCTAGAAAATGTTTTCAGAGTTTCAAGGAAGTACCAAGTTCTTGCATCTTCAATTGTCCTTCAGTTCCATCTGTTTCAGAAGGTGAGGAAAGTGATCTCCACAGCGTTTTAAAGATACATCCTTGTTGCTCACGATCTTCTCCCCCCCTCCCCGAGGTTATGTGGTAAGCAATTTCTCAAAGCTCAGTCCTTGTACTGCTTAAACTAGGCATGATGAAACCTGAATTGCACAAATACTCTAGAAAAATCTGCCTCGCACTTCCTCCCACAATTTCCAGGGTCTTTGTACCTGACCTTGGCCTGATCATTTATCTTCTCCATGCTGCTTTTGTACAAAATGAGTTATCTTCCATCATTCTGAGACTAAGGCCATGCAAATATATCCTGCTGTATCTCCAGCTTTGCCTGCTGAAGAAGTTACCCCTCTCAGCACCTTTCCATGAGGGGTCTTATTACTGCCTCTTTCCTGGAGCTGCCCCAGCATATTTGCTGACTGAAAGCTGTTTGCTGAGTTTTTCTTGCAATTCCTTTCTTTTAGTCACCAAGATCGATGACCTTTCAGTCAGTACAACTGGTGATACATTAAAAGAAATTTACAGTTAGTTTAAGATAACTTAGGCTATTTTGATTGAGACAATTAGGAAGTAACCATATAAGTAGCTCTGCAAGGGGATGTCTGTAGCTCCCACACTCCCCCCACAAAAAAGCATCTGAAAGTGGTAACCTCAGTTGGCAAAACTAGGGAGAAGGTGTGTATTAACTGACTTTAATCATTAATATATTTTAGTTCATTGGAAGGAAGAAGTGGGTACTAAAGGTTATTATTTAGATAAATGATCCAAAAGACAAGCATAAAAAAAGACAGATATGCTGAGTGAAAGCAGAAACCCATTTCCCCAATCCATTAGCATTTTTAGTTTTAAACTATAAGGAGATTATCTAATATGTGACGCAAGGATGACTGAAAAAATGTAATCAGATGACTTTCTTGTTATTAAAAGGAAGAAGTAGGTTGCAACTAAAATGAGCTTTTAAATTAGTGCTTTGTGGGCATCACAGTTAAAAAAACACAATTATAAATCAGGATAGCATCATTGATCAAAGTCCCGCATTATGGCACTTCACATTTCCTATATGAAATTTATATAATCCAAGTTTCTGTGCCAAAAAAAATTAAGTCTGCATGAGAGACTTAATTCTATGCTGAATGCTGACCTTATCTAAGGAACGCTTGTATTATATTGTCATTTATAAGGCAGTTTTCATCAAACGCCCATAAATATTTAACAAGGGACATTTCCTTTTCCCTCTGTTCTTTCACCTTTGTTGTTAATTGCTTAGCTTTAACATAGCAATTGTAATTCTGTTCTCTGAAGATCAGTCCTTATTTTTATTAGCGATTTCTTTAATTCTGACAAGGCAAACAATACATGGAAGTAGGAGCGACATTCCAGAATAAATGCCTACGAATGCTTGGATTCGACAAACAAATCCCCTAAAATGGACAGTTACTGTTACTTTGTTAAAATCACTTTTTACCTGTTTATTTATCTATGAAAGTGATAACACTGACAAGAATAAGTATGGTGCCACTAACACAGGAGCAACTGCAGCGGTAGTAGTGTGCAGCATCAGTGTTCATTCCACTGCTAAACACATTCTTTTTTATACATGGTGTAAAGTAATTGTTTTCAGGGACAGTTAATTTCCAGGAGCTTTTTCTAGCACAGTGGGGTGCTCCCAGCAATTAACAAAAGTCTTATGGCATTTTTCCTGAGGATTTGTTAAACGTGCAAAATAGGATATGTATCTGAGCCAGATACAGTGAAGTATTTGGAGGTCTTTTCAGGATGATAGCAAACTTTGGATCTTGTACTGTAACAAAGGTACCGTTTTGTACACGTTGGTTGCCATTCTGCATCTTAATCTCAGTTCCTATAATGCATGATTTTATTGCTTGTAATCTAGTATTAATTTAACATACAGTTCCTGTTCTGGAACCCCACTTACCTGACCATAACCAGAGTGCAGCACTGGACTGTGTGCACGACATCTCTAGTTAAAGATCGTTCTCTCAAAGTACTTTGAAATAGCAACACTGGTTTAACCCTGACAGAGAAGAGTTCTTTTCCCTTAGTTTAGACAAACATCTTTGCTCCTAGTTCTGTGGCTGGGTACCACTGAAAAGAATCTGG